CTAGTTGACTTTATCCTAATCCACATCCAAAAACAATACCAACCTGCCCCGTGTCATAGATCAAGAGAAATGTCAACGTCCTCCCTTTTACACTAACCCTTCTGCATGCTTCCAGGGTGGCATTGGTAGGATAACTTTGTAATCTCTGGGTATGAGTTACCTTTACCCTCCTGGTGGCTGCATCAAATTCTTTTCTTGCTGCTCTCAGTGCCTGCCACTGGATGTCCAGAATGAAAGGTTGGGTCTGTTGGCTAGTTAGTGCACTTGGAATAGTCCTGGAGCAGAGGAATGGCTTCTCTAGGCGACAGTGACACACTTTCATAGAAACTTATTGTTTTTCAGTGTGAGATGATTTGTGGGGATCAGCTAAAGAAGATGTTAAATAGGTTCAGGTAAAAAATAAGTACACTTCCATGTTGTTAAACTCAAGGCTTAAACTGGACTTCCTCAAAATACAGTGAAATAACACTGAAATGCTCAGACTAGTTAGGAAAATAAAGTCAGATGACTTTCATCTTAATCTGGTTGATTGGTGAGTGGCAGATTCAGCATTACAAAAAACAAGTTTTTGTCACCAGTTTGTGAATTCACACCATAGCTTATAGCAGCTAATTCACACTAGCAATCTCACATCTTAGGTGCAAAAGCTATGAGAAAGCCTTAGTAGCAGTAGGGAATCCTTTCATAAAATAATCGTGACAGTCTCATTGAGAGCTGCCCACTGTGGTGTAGGGTTTAGTGCCGGCTACGTATTAAAGACTTGTTAGCTTACTCTGTGTAAATACAAGAAATTAATGTAAAAAATGTTGATATGGCAATAGAACGTGATATTTTTTCCTGCAATATGATATTGATATTCAAAAGTGGTGTATGAACATTTGCGTTTATTTTGGTGCAATTCAAACGCCGACTGCTAGTTGGCAGCAGTGCGCAATCGGTTTTGTTTCCACCATTTAAATGTAAATCCCTCTATTATGGTTCAGATACCTCATGTTAAACATGTTGCACATCAGTTTTGGACTGTTTATTGAATTTTCCTACTTCAAGCAAAAAAATCGCTAATATCATCTGGCTGAATGTGTCACAATATATTGTGATTTATCATATCATCTCCCCTGTATCGTGATACGTATCGTATCACGAGAATTTCACCAATACACATCCCTACCAGATACACTCCATGATGTTGAGATCAGTGGGGGTCAGACCATACCTCCAGGACTATTTGCTCTTCTTTATTCTCAAAATTGTTCTTAATGACTTTGGCTGTATGTTTGACTTCACTTACTTTGCATTTTGTGAATTGATAAAAAAAATCATTATTTATTTTTCTGAAAGCTTTCTTTGTTTACAGCATTATTTTACATCTGCCTAAAACTTTTGCACAGTACTGCATATTATTAAACTAGTGCATTTGAATAATAATTTAATAAAATGATGGCAGAACTTTTAAAATGTTTTAGAATTTCTGAAATATTTAATGTAAAATATAACATGCAATTTTTAGATGTCCAGTGACAAAGCTAAAAGCCTTGCTTATGTTTTTATTAATTATTGTTGTTATTATTATTAATTATTATTATTATTTAGTTTATAGCAACAAATGAAAAATGAGACAAAGTCAGAATCAGTAGAAATTAGCATTGACATTAAAACTGCCAATAGTATTAATAAAGATATTTCTCATGGTCTACAAAGAAAAAAATGAAAAAGGATAAGACAAGCTCGGTGAAACTGGTTTTATTTTCTTGACTAAAAGGAGGGAAATCACTTTAATTGAACGCTCCTTTCAATTTCTTCCTTTATGTAACAGGATCAGGTAGATGGTTTTGCCTTGCGTGGCTTTCTTCACCATCATATAATCATCTGTGTCAGAATCGTCACTACATTGTTGATGTGTAACCATGCAGGTGAACATTTAACACCCCTAAAAGCACTCGTGATCTCAGGTCACTACACTGCAGTGCAGCAGCATTAGTCGAAACACGTGGTTTTAAAAAGCAAGAACACAGAGTGTGTTTGAGGGGTAAATATTGACAAAATGCTGCTCAAAAGTGAAAGCCGGACACCGCCTTGACTGATTTCATCTATTGTTCTTTTTTGTTCTACTTAAATGTTCCAAACAGCAAACAATATCAGACAAAGTAAACCAAAGTTTATAGAAATTAGTTTCTCAACTGATTGTTTGGTTTATTAAGGGGGAAAATGTGATCCAAACCATAAACATTGTTTTTAAGGTCAAACATCAGATTTTCTTTTTCCTGTTGTTTATATATATATATATATATATATATATATATATATATAATTTTTTTTATTTTTTTTGTAGAGAGCAGAATTTATAGTTTGATCAGAAAAGAAGAAAATTGCCCAGGTCCCAAAGCAATGAAGCTGTCCCAGACCATCACACTACCGCCAACCATGCTTGGTTGTTATATTTTCCTAAAATTGAATTATTTTCACTCCAGATGTAAGGGGACACACGCATTCCAGAATTTTCCATGTTTTTGCCATTTCCATATTTGTCAAAATGAAGTCACAGCAGCCCTGGCTGACAGACGTGGGTTTCCCTCTGACCACCGTCAGCCAGCAAGGTGGGTGTGTCTTGCCCAAGGGCATGACTGACTGAGCAGGGAGTGAACCTGCAACTCTCCTTTTACTTAAAACTTATTTTTACTTCTCTGTCAGCTCGTGTTTGCAGTTGTGCAATCCCAATGAAGGAGAAATTTTCCTTTCAAGCTTCTTTGTTGCTTGGGAAGTGTTGCAAAGCAATTCTCATCAGGACAACAGAGGGCGAAGCTCTTTTTTTTGGGGGGGGGGGGGGGGGGGGGTTCTACCACCATAGCAGACATGTTTCTGGTCAATGATAGTGTATTTACTATTGTGTACATGTATTTCTGAGATATTGTCACTTACTCTTCTCTAACTATTTATGCAGGTGTCACCTCCAAACCAACGTTTACCATAATTTTCTTCCATGAATAAAAAAGTTTGCTGCCTATCTTTGTTCTCCTTCAGTTACAGGTGTATAGAATTTCATATGGTCTGACTTCATCAGTGAGACGTTCTCCGATCAGTTCTGTGTCTGCCCTAGATGTCTTCAGCTCTTGTTATAATTTTTTTGTGGGGTTGTTGCCAGTGTTAATGAATTTAAAGGAAGTGGTGTCTCAACAAATCACAGGCTTGTGGTCTCCATCGCTTTCGACGGACAGTTAAAAAGTTGGACATTTCTCCATCACCCTCTGCAAGCTGGACAAATAGCCCTTGGGTAACACATCATAACATCACTCCCTCACCAAACTGCTGGAGAAGTATAAATCAAGCTTTAGTATGCACTTAAGGCTCCTGTGGCAAATCTGCAAAACAAGCTAGCGTTTAAGCAAAAACACATACAGAACTCTCACTCTTTGTGTCAGTGATCATCTACGTCCGCTACTTATTGGAATGTCCATTGCCACAGTGAACGAGAGTCACCGTTTTCTAGGTCCAAACATCTTTTGTTGTCCGTGACTTGAGATGGTGTTTTTCTTTTTGGTACTCTAGTTTGTTCTAAAGTTCAAGTGGAAGCAGCCAGCTGTTTCTCCTTCTCTAATATTATTGAGTGGAGGACCTGTCACACCAGTAGTGTTCTGTTGCTAAATGTGTTAGCCCGTGTTGGATGGAGGACCCATGGAAGTGCAGAAATTCGGTGAGACAACTGGACCTTCCAATTCGTTCTGAGCCATATTATTGGCTGACGTTTTTCTACAAATGCAAGAGAACCACTTGAATATTTTTTTTATCTTTATAAAACATGAATTGATATATATTATCCTACAGAAGAGGCATGAAAAATGTTTTAAGCTAGCTTATGTTTCCGTGACCACCATCACCTTGAAAACGTGTGACATCATAGAGATATTTTAAGGAAAATGCCACCTTTGTAGTTCTGTATTTTTTAATGAACAGTGACTTGTTGCTTTTTGAGATCTTGTAGCCTTCATGAGACCTCACTGCTTTCATTTGAGTGATTTAATTCTACACACCTGCCTGTAATCGAATATTGAAGCTGGTTTGCTGATCTGAAACATAAATCTATCTGTATGAGGCAGTAGAGTAGGCTGCATTACAGTTCTGCTTTGAAGTGGGCTGCAAGCTGCAGACCCCGACACAATAAAGCAACAGTAACAAGCATGCCAGTTCTGCAAACAGAAGTGTGTGTGTGTGTAAGAGAGAGAGAGAGAGAGAGAGAGAGAGAGAGAGAGAGAGAGAGAGAGAGAGAGAGAGAGCGTAAGATGGAGAGAGAGAGAGAGAGTGTAAGACAGAGAGAAAGAGAGAGAGAGAGTGTGTGTGTAAGACAGAGAGAGAGAGAGAAAGAGAGAGTGTGTGTGTAAGACAGAGAGAGAGAGAGAGAGAGGAGAGAGACTGTAAGACAGAGAGAGAGAGAGAGAGAGAGAGAGAGAGAGAGAGAGAAAGAGAGAGAGTGTAAGACAGAGAGAGAGAGTGTGTGTAAGACAGAGAAAGAGAGAAAGAGAGAGGGAGAGAGTGTGTGTAAGACAGAGAGAGAGAGAGTGTGTAGAGAGAGAGAGAGAGAGAGAGAGAGAGAGAGAGAGAGAGAGAGAGAGAGAGTAAGACAGAGAGAGAGAGAGTGTAAGACAGACAGAGAGAGAGAGAGAGTAAGACAGAGAGAGTGTAAGACAGAGAGAGAGAGAGTGTGTGTAAGACAGACAGAGAGAGAGAGAGAGAGTAAGACAGAGAGAGTGTAAGACAGAGAGAGAGTGTAAGACAGAGAGAGAGAGAGAGAGAGTAAGAGAGAGAGAGAGAGAGAGAGAGAGAGAGAGAGAGAGAGAGAGAGAGAGAGAGAGTGTGTAAGACAGACAGAGAGAGAGAGAGAGAGAGTAAGAGAGAGAGAGAGAGAGAGAGAGAGAGAGAGAGAGAGAGAGAGAGAGAGAGAGAGAGAGAGAGAGAGAGAGAGAGAGAGAGAGAGAGAGAGAGAGAGAGAGTGCAGCAGCAGCAGCATGGCAGATTGCAGTGCATACAGTGTGGAGGAGGCGGGGTTTGACATCTCAGCTCTGAAAACATCTCTAATCCAGTATTTCAGGTGCCGAAGTCGACTGAGCGATCAGAGCTTCACCACGACGTGTCAGTGCACCGCAGCCGAAACGGAACCGCGACACTCCAACGCGGACTATTTTCAGCGCACGGACACGGCAGTTGTGTCCGAAGAAGATCGCAAAACGGCCCAAAAGAAGTAACACAAGAGTGAAGTTTCTGCGCTTTGGTGAACTACTTTTCCAGCGTCTCTGCCTTTTTCTACTCCATTTCTTCGCTGTAAAAGACCCTTAACCCCTGGAGGGTTTCTGTTCGGACGTTCAGTCTCTCAGAGGTGAGCATGACACAGAAAGTAGTTCTTTAGAACTTTCCTGGCTGCCGTTTAGCCACCGTACGTACGTGAGGCGGAAGTGGGAGACCGTACCTGGAGCTCAGGTGATACCAGGTAGGCCTAGCGTTAGCTTTAGCACACCTATCGAGTTTCAGATTGGAGTGTGGAAAATTTAAACCCTCGAGAGGGCTGTTTTGTTATTTTTGACACTGCTTTGACCTACTTAAATTCGATTTTTGTTACCCGTAAAACTTCTGTTAACGTAGAAAGCCGAAACATAAATACAGCACTGTAAAGTTACACTTAAGCGATAAATTGTGTTTCAAGACGCGTTATATTAGCAAAATATCAATTATTAAACAGTTGTATGAGGTTTATTAACACAGTTTGACTTAAATGTCAGGTGTCTGGTGTGTTTAAAGACGTGTTACCCTCATAGTCAGTCTGCTGTCAGTAGTCTTGGTTTACGTGTGTTTGATGGTTTTTTAGTCCTCTCAGTATTCATACAGCAGCTCTGAATTTACACCCTGCGCTCTCATCTTTGGTGATGATGTTTTTGGATCATTCCCATTGAATCTAACACTGAAAAACACAGCTGCATGCTGAAGAACCAGTTCTGAGTCTCAACTCACCTCTTTGTTTTGAAGCATGTTGAGCAACCGTACCAAGAACGAGAGCACGTTTACCTTGGTACTGTTTCCCTAAGCTGGCTCCGGTGTTTGGCTGTAAAAATGAGGTGATACAGACGTTGTTAGATATTAATAGGTTTAAAGTACTGCCTACAAGTATATGTTGTTGTTTCAAGTAGTTAGATTTAAATAATTGTGTAAAGTGTTCCTGATTGGTAGCTTTTCAGGATTTCTGTTGATGTTTTTATTTGAAGTTTAGTGCTTTTTCAATACATGACAGTCCAGAAGTTCAACCTAGAGCAGTCAGTTTGTTGTGGGGCTGTATAGTTAAGCAAATTTGTATTTGAAGTTCAAAATAGGCTCTTAAACACAAAAATCTACATAAAGTGACACTTTTTACAACTTTTGTCACATTCAGAGATGCAAACTGACTTTGTTTGCTCAGCCGTTCTGAAATGAAGCATGCATGTGCGTCTTCTGTAGACTAAACAAAATGTGTCTTGTGTTTTGAAAGATTAAAGCAAGTGAAGAGATGGCAGAACAATGGCAAAACACACTGGTGTTTTCTGACAAACATAAAAAATAGGGCTACTTGATTTTTTTCTCTTTTTTTTCAGTTATGACCCAAAACACTCAAATATTTTTTTCCATATGGTTTAGTTTTGTTTCCAAGTCATGTGCTTTGCATTTGAGCTCCTTTAGCCAAAAAATAGGCCAGTTGGTAGAAATTTTCATTGCCGTTTATTATTTTTAAACACAAGTAATTATTCACATTTTAATCAAAAATTAAGAAACTAGAAAACTGGTTAACACAGATCATAGTAAAAAAATGGTCTCAGGGCATTAATTGACACTTATTTTGACAAGCCACACTGCAAATGTAGTAAGTTTCTCAACTCATTGAGTAATTGTGTGTAAAATGTACACATTTCACAATTTAAAAGAGTTATAAATTTAAAAAAGCAAAGTCTAAAGAAATCAGTGTCCATTTTAACAATTAGCTTGGTAATTTACAGTGATCTTCTGTTGTACCCCCCACTTTTGCCATCAGTTGTTTAAAACTAAACTTTGATGTAGGGTCTCTGTAGATTTTCTTCTTCAAAACACCATCAGATTGGTGAATATTTAATTATGTGGCAAATAATGGACTGAAGTGCTAAAATCTGAGTAATTAATGTGTATTTTGTGTATGTGTGTCTATTTTATCAAGGCTCATAAGAATTGTTAATCATCATCATCATACAATTCTTGGAGAGATGTCACACAAGTTGTCTCTGAGGAAGCAGACAGCAGGATGTTTTATTTTAGTTTAGACTTTCTTCAGAGTGGGATCCTGGAACTGAGCTTTTGTTTTCCCTTTTCCTCTGCTGCACATAAAATAAAAGGGTGACCCAGCGTGGTGTGGTTGACCCGTTCAGTTTCACAGGGCTGATCGCACTGACCGTGTGTCTGAGAGCGCCAAGCCTTTCTACAGGAAGCCCACAAAGGAAATGATCTCTGTATTGTTGCCTTGGGGCTGCAATCAAATCTTTAGAGGGTCGGGCTTTGTTTACTATTCCGCACTGAATAAACATAAAAATGTGAAAAGCTTTAAGTCTAAAATACTGAGGGGAGTAAAGCTGAGGAAAAAAATATGACTTAATTCTTTGCATTTTTAACACTTCTTAGAAGTTTCCACAACTTCGTCTGAAAGGTGGAGGCTGTGCTACAAGTTGTAAGGGTTTGAATAAAACAGGGGAGGTGTGACACGTAGAAATTCTGTAAACTAGGAGGTAAAGCTGCTAAAAACAAAATTTCAAAGTGGTAGTAAAATGCAAATTTTGTGCTTGCATTTTGTTACCACAATCTCCTTTTTCTTTTCAAACTCAACCAGTAATTTTGAGTTTTAAGTCGGTGAATGATCAGTCAGTATAAATCTGCAGAATTTGCTGCAGATTAAATAAAGCTATTTTTCTCTCTACAAAGTATTTGTTTTAAATAATATACAGCTTTGCAAGCATTCTTTCATTTTGATGGGTGTTTTGCAGTGTTTTAAAAAGTCAGAGCATATACAATTGGCAAAATGAGGGCCAAACACACTAGTAGCATATGATGGACATAAAAAATTACAAGCACAGTCAGCTATTGCTGCGTGGGATGTGATGGCATGAATGGTCTCCTGTTCTGCAGCTGTGTACTGTTGTGGAATTCATACAGGGGAGGCGGGATTTCATTAAATACAATCCTCTTATTTCCAGGCTGAAGGAATGTCTTACGAAAATAACATGTTTAATGAAAAAAATATCTCAATAGTGCCAACAGTAACACCTATCATATATGGGCCATTCCCATCTGTACCGGGTCAGCCCGGGCTGGGTAGCGTAGGTTGTTTACATATCTGGGTGGCCTGGTATTTTTCCGGGCCAACCAAGGCTCATTCTCAGCCCTCTTCTCGAGGGGGTCTGCTTCAGGCCGACCAGGGCCAACACACCCACTGCTGACAGCAAATTCACACCTTCCATTAGATCAAGCCTCTGATTGGTGGGTAGAATCAGCCCACATGGGCTTAAGGCAAGGATGTGTGGAATCAACCGGGCCAGGCTGGGGCCGACCCGGTACAGACGGGAATGACCCAATAGAGTGCCAGTCTTTGCCCTAGAATGTGTAAAATACTATTCATCGTAATCGAAGTACTCAATATATCGTGATACTAATTTGAGGCCATATCGCCCAGCCCTGTGATACGATACATATCACAGGGCTGGGAGGATGATACGATATATATCACAATACAGAGGAGACAACACAATATGCATCGCAATACAAGGGAATAGGGTTGCAGATATGGAATATTTTAGCAATCAAACCTTTTATGTGAGGGCGTTTCAGGTGAAACAAGACTGTGGTCTGTTGCTAAAAATATGAAAATAAAACCACAAAGTTATAAAAGCCTCTAATATGTATAACATTGGTGTTGTCTAGTTCCCTCTTTCCCAGCCGATATTTATATTTAATAAATGTTTTATGGAACAAAATGTGACTTACATTTCAGTAACATTTTAGGTTTGTAGTAATATCACATCCTAGTCAAAAATAACATCCAAATATATCCACACATGATCAAGATCATTTTAACCATTTCATTAACTTGTTCAGTAGTGAGCTACTGAAAATGAAATAACATTTAATTTCTACTGGTGGCACATTTATTGTATTATTTACCGGTTGGCAACAAAATTCAGTTTAAATTGTATTAAAGTATGAGTTTGTGAAATACATGCTACAACGACTTGCCGTATACCTGCTGCGGTGTACAAAGCAAACTCATAGGAACAACCCAGACTCCAGGTAGCTGCAGCAGCTCTACCCCACACCGCTTGTAGACTTTAGTTATTCACAACCACCGTGTTGTAATCGTGAGCGTGCTACATGCTAGCATGAGAATTAGTCAATCTGCTCATAGTTTCGCTCTTAATCCCAAACTTCAGACCATTTCTGCCTTTTACAATGCTTTGTGTTTTTGCTGGGTTCTCTATTTTCCTCCACAGCACCTAGATTACCACAGTGTGTGCCAGGAAAATGTGTTCAGACTGTAGGACACACATTTAACAAAGCTTCGAATCAGTGAATAAATGACTCAACAAATTTAAAGAACACAACCATTCAAATCATTCGAAGATTCATTTCAGCCCTACAAGGTAGACAACACGATATGTATCATAACACAGGGAGGATGGTGATATGGTGTGTGTCACAACACAGGGAAGATGATACAATACACTGCATATGCCTGGTGATATCTGCAGTTTTAAGACTGAATTAATTTGGAAAACTCAGGACAGATACTTTAAAGACACATCTAGTGTTATTGCAAGACCTCGCTGTTCTGCCAGAGTGAAGGCCTTAAAAACTGCTGCCACCTAGAGGTCAGAATTTGGATTGTGCCCCACTGAACAATATCGCAATATTTCAGGGTATCATATTTTTCTGGCATTTCAAGTTAACATACTCAAACACGGATCTTATAAACCGTATTGCTTGTGGAAGTGGCATCCTAAAAGGAAAGCCATCAACAATGAGTCGGAAATTTCAGTGCGTTGGAGAAAAAAAGGTTTTGCAAAGACTTTGTGTCGAGTAATGCATTTTCATTTACGAATAACAGCTTGGTGACTTTGTTTAGCCTAATATCAGCTGTAACTATTTTAAACGTTCATTTGAGGAAAATTAAAACTAATAAAGCCAAGCTGTTTGAGTTAAAGTGCCCTTGCATATTAAGAACTTCCCCACTTAATGCCAGGCTCACATGGTGTGTTTTTGTTCCCACCTTATAAAGACATCAAATAGGTGTGACTCTTTTTGACCACAGATTGAATCAGCAACAGCTCTTGGCAGCAATTAATTTTTTCTTGATGAGGCTATCCATCAACTTGATCCCTGATAGATAAATCACAGCGCTCAGCTGGCTGTGCTTGCACTTCCAATCTGTCTCCGTTTAGATTCTTCAAG